TCAACAACGTACGCAATCGAGAGCTTGGTGAAATCGGCCATATGGTTAAAATCGATGGTGGCGATCGTGTCGTTTTGGGAGTGCATGTATGGGTTTTTGTCCTTCAACTCGGTTTCAAACGGATACGATGAGGGGTACCCCGTCACGTTCCACGCGAAATGGTCCGAGCAGTAGTAGCCGCACACTGAACGGGACACGGGGAGGCCCACGTAGGTCGCGATGAGCATCTCCAAGAACGTGTTGAGGTTCGCGTTGATGAAGTCGGTGATCAAATTTATGACGGGGGTCGTGCCAGGAGCGACGTACCCCGTCATGTCCTGCTGCATCTGGGCATACACGGATGTGTTGGCCTTCGCATACTCCGCCGCCACTGCCCTGGACCCGCGCAGCTTAATTTCTTCGGCGGCGTACCAGTGGAACTCCACGGGCCGAATAGGGGTCCACTCGGGGGTCGCGAGCAAATACTTGAACGACTCCAAGATGGTCACGGTGCCCGACCCGTCGTCGTCAGCCCCGGGGGCGATGTTGCGCTTCACACGATCCCGCATGTCTTTCCAGTTGATTGAGTCTTGGTGCGCACTTAAAATGACAATGTCGTCCTTGACAATAGTAGTAGGCTCGACGCGGGCAATCACAGAGTACTGTTTCCACGGGTGGGTGAACTGTCGCACGGTGACTTTAACGTTGGGGTTGGTCGCCGCCTTGGCAATCACCTCGACAACTTGATCGTAGATCCACCCGCACGACTGCGCGCCTTCGGCCGTGTTGAAAATGCGGTTCGCAAACTTGTTCACAAAGCCCTCTAGAGACTGCTTCAAGTCGGCGGTTTGAATCTTGGCGTTGACCCCACGCACGAGGTTGGGGTTCGTGGCCACGGTCGGGTACGGGGTTGTTTCTTGGACGCTGGAGGCAAAAGCGATGGCAGCGGCAGCAGCGGAGAGGAGGGTGAACTTCATGGCACGAACGTGAATAAATCAGAAATGACAACACATATAAAGTTGACACGGGTGTTGGGGATCTATTGGTTTACGATACCAAACCACTGAAATGCAGAATAATTCCCTCATTAAAACAGTTCCCCTGATGTTTTGACCCGAAGTACTGTTTCTCAGTGTCAATGAGAGACATCTCACATTCGGATACACTTTTCAGCCGATGAGATTTTGTAACTTTGTACTAGTATATGCTTACGTACAATCCCCTACCCCTGCTACCCTGTGTTTCGAAGTATCTCTTGACTGAACGGTTCACCTGTGTGAACTCGTGTCAATATGTACCGTGTAGAGAAATCAACTGATAGGAATCTACGACGGACATTTCGAAATGTCATTGGATAGTTGCTAGTTGCCTCGCAATGGTCAGGTGCTATGTGCGAGCAACGTTTCCCTGATGTGGTGCCATTTATCACAGTTTACTGTTAAACACAACAGCGAACCTGGTGAAAAATACAACCCCCCTAAGAAATATGACCACCACTATATTCGGATATATTTAGATTAACAGTGTAAATCCAAGCAATCTAAGTAACCTTTATAAATTAATTAATCAACCTTTTTCAAATCCAAGAAGTTTGATCAGTCATGTCAAACCTAATTGGCTAACCACTTGGTGACGAGCGCCTACAACACACCATTATGGATATCCGATATATCGGATGATGTCTTTACTACGTAGTACTAGTATTAATCTTGGAACTGTACCAGCATGAACTGCTCTGTTAACCACTCATTGACAAACTCGTTAGCGAGCCATATTTGGCACTCCCAGAGTTTCTATCCGCAGTATGTCCGCTCCTCACAATAGTGTAAACAGCACTGCCATCGACAAATGACATTCGGTACACCCGGTATACTAGTACAATACTGTACAAATTCTTCAGGATGCAATACTAACGTGAACGTAATAACTACCCTATCATTTTTCGCCATTACTTTGGGTCAATGATATTTTGAATAATTCCCTCATTAAAACCGCTCCACTGTTGTTTTGACCCGAAATACTGTTTCATTTATGGAGTTATTACATCCGGATACACCTTTTCGCCAGTGTAACCTGGGACCCTGTCCTACCCCCGGTGAGTACGTACGATGCTAAATCCCCCGAATTAACTGATTCGCTAGTGGTTAGCTATCGCTAACCACTGAGATGCACTTAACCCCTAGTAAGAGGCGAGGTGGTCCGAGCATACAAAGTTCCTTATATAACTCATTGAAACAGTTTTTCGGGCCAAAACAACAGTGGAACTGTTTTAATGAGGGAATTGAACCTGAAATGCACTTACCTACGTGGAATATGTTGTTTTGGTTTACACTGCATGTGACTATTACACAATAAGAACAAGTGAAATGATAACGTCTCAGGGAATTACTGGGCGATCATGGTGATCGTGGGGCAAATAACATGGTGGGATTTTGTAACTTCGCATGAGTTCACGAATAATCCGCTGAGTGGCTATTGGTATTTTCAAGGCGCCGGGGAGTACAAGCCTGGGAGGGGCTGCTGGGCGTGCCCGGGAGTTCCGTCTCGGACTTTAACGTTGTGCAAAGAGCCCTGAAGGACAAGACCGAGGTCAAGACGGCAAGGTCCCCTGCACTCGGGAACTGGAGAGGTACTTCCACGACAAAGTGAAGCGAAAGTCATTGCCGGGTTGTCTGGAGTCCCGACAGACTCGGGGTTGGCCACGTGGACGTGGTTGTAGGGGCTACTTATTCTAGTTCATTTTGCCTAATACATTACTCGGTAAAGAACCTGTCTTTGGGCGTACTCGGAGTAAGTTCTGTAAAACTTCCTATCTAAAGTTGTGGATTATATTACTGCAAGTGAGCATCGGTTTTGTTGGTAACATCATGCCACACAGTATCCTCTACGTTTATGAAACAATCTGGTTGATTGGCATTCATTGTTGACGCGAATCAGTTTTGGAATCGATACATGCAAGCTAGCCCGTGGAATGGTACAACGATGGAACAACGAGGTGATTAGCATGCCGTGGCGCTGTCCTGAGTCAGCTCGACAACGTACGCAATCGAGAGCTTGGTAAAATCGGCCATGTGGTTGAAATCGATGGTGTCGATGGTGTCGTTTTGGGAGTGGAAGTACGGGTTCAAGTCCTTCAACTCGGTTTCAAACGGATACGACGAGGGGTACCCC